TGCTTAACTAGTGGTTACTGTATTGGACAGAACAGAATATCTCTGTCATCACAGAAATTCTTTTGGACAGCGCTTAGTCATACAGTCTAAGTAAACTCATTTTACTATCTAATTCTTTCCTCCCTATCAAGCACTTACTTGGAGAATGCTTGCAACCTCACTGACTGGTAATTCACTTGCTTTTTTTGATGTCAGTACAGGAATCATTGTCTCATTTTCACCATTAGGAATTTTTTGAAAACGTGCAACCTAGGAAATAAAAACAAAGGAAAAATATTTGAATATAGCAAACAATTCTAATGCAGTCTAGAATAAATGAAAATCTTAAAGTTCACAGAAACTTATTTTCTACAGTTAGAAAATAAATATTTTCAGTCTAATAATGAGTATCCAGTACTAATAAGATAATTTTATACTAACCATGTGCTGTTCTTTCCAGAAAGCACATTGCAAATATTAGGCTACCAGTGCCAGCTAGAACACAAAACAATTTTCACATTAAATTTAAAAGATGCTATTTCTACAGCAATGTAACGAGTAAAAAGTAAAACAGATGTCCTGTCTAGCAGATCCTGATGATTACATGTAGTCATAATCCTCTAAACTCATGTTTAACACAAAGCACAAGGAATAGCTAAGCTTTCCCCATTTTAATTACTTCTGCTGGTCAGCTCATTTCTTAACTATCCAAAAAGAACACCTAGCTACTATACCGAAGCACCCATGACAGCAATTCAGACTTAAAAACCTATTCTCAAACTGGAGTTACAACAAAAAAACAAGAGACCAGACAAGCAGAGTAAGTCACAGAGATGATGGTAACCATGGTACCTACTTGATGCAGCTTCATAAGCAAGTATCTACAGAAAAGTGTTTAACACACTTCTAGAAATCTGCAATCTGGACTTATCTTAGGTCCTAAGGTGAGATTCTTTATAGACAAAGTTTTGAGTAAGTAGGGAAAAAGGAAACAAAAAGCTTCCCACTGAAACTTCAAAGAAGAAAATATTTCAGTTGCCACACATCCACTAATTAAAATAATACTGAAACTGAAATAATCATCTTACTGCCAAGACACAAGACTTTAAGCTTTAAGGTAAAACATTTTCAACCTTGGATAATCAACGTTTTTAGGATAAAATATTTCCCTAAAAATTTTTTGAGGCAACTTCTTTAAGACAACAAATGAGATCGAAGAAAAATAATTTAAGTTTCTATTATTATTAAAGTATCAGTATAGAGGCCTATATCCATAAAAATATCTTTATACTTACTCTAAAACATGGTAAATAGTTGTGAGGGGGAAAAAAAACAGTATTTCCTCAATGTGACCGAGTCCTGGAACAATCAAATACTATGTGTTTTTCATCTCATTTATTAAAAAGTCATTGTTGACTGTTTAAGTGCCTTAAAGAAAAGAGATGTATTTTTCCACTTTTAATGAGAAGATATTAATGAGTAAAAATTCTGAGGAAACTGGAGACAAACTACCTTTCTTTCATGCAAAATGAAGTCTTGGAATTATTTTATAGCCTAACATTTTTACATAATTAAGAAATTTTAAATGTTAGAGAAAAAATGGAAATTTCATGGAAATTGTATACCCATTTGAGAGCCACTGAATTCCCTTATTTCAAATTTATAAAACAAAGTAGAACAGAGGAAAGTCTTCATTGAACCATCTCTAAATTAAACACTGGAGAAAATTCTCCTAGAAATGACTTTTGACTCTTAAAGCAATGAGACCTAACCAGTCTGACAATATTTTATCCTGTGAGATCCTAAAACAAAATTAAGTAGGATCAAACATGTTTTTGTTGCCTGCACTGACAATGAGATTAAGAAAACCTTTTATATCTAAGATTCCTGTACTTGTTTCTTCATGTATAAAATGTAGATAAATAGTGCCTAAAGTTATGTGAGAATTACATCCATTAATATAGCATTTGGCCCACGAGTAGTAAGTACTCAAATAGTTATTTTCTCCCAAAACTATTTAATATTTATATGTCCATATTCAATAGTACAATAAGCTCAATATAGAACTGAATTACTAATCAAGGTTAGAAAAGCTAGATTTGCAATAAATTTTCTAAGGTATACTTTTCTTATCATTAATATATTGGAAATTGCCACCTCTAACACCCAAAATGCAGTACAAGAGCCTTATTTATAAAATCTTTGTAAAGTAATCCTTTAGTAGCTAGTAAATAGGGTCTATGTTGGAACACATCTTATATATAAAATCCTTCAAGGAGGATCCTATGGGCTCAAAAGAGAAGGAATTTCTCCCACAATGGAGGGAGGCTACATACAGCACAGTAAATTCTTGACCAAAAGCAGTGATGTCAACTATAATTATGCTTGCTATATTCTATATTAACTTAAAATTATGGAAATTATTAATTTTAATCCTATTTTCTTTTAAAGCAAGTGTCATAGAGATTTACTAGCTCAAATGGATCATTAGTTATATGGCTTATAAGAGTATTTTAATTTGTTCATTCAGTCTTTCAACAAACACTGCATTTATTGAGAATATGACTGTGCTAGGACCTTAAGATTTAACAATAAGCAAAAATACCCTGGAGTAGGGGGTTGGGGAGAGACAGATTATCAAAGATAGTGCAAATAAATGGAAAACTACAAATGATCACTACTATGAAGGAGAAGTCCATGAACATGAGAACTTACAATGAGTAAAGTTCTGATGAGGAAGTGATGCTTATACAAGTCAAAGACAAGAAACTGCCTAAAGGAAGGAATGGAAGAACAGAAGGAACTGAATGTGCAAAGTTCTCAAGGAAGGGGGGGCACATGGAGAGAATGAAGTTCTAAACAAAGGCCAGCATTTATTCACTTATTCATTCAACCCTTCGACACATAATCAATGTTTACTATGTGCCAGACACTGTTCTTGGTACTAGGAACACAGAAGTGACCAGAGAGGCAAGAAATTTAGCCTCATAGAGCCACACACCAATAGGAAACAAAAGACTATAATAAAGTGGTATGCAATAAATGCTCTAGAAAACAATTAAGAAGAATAAGTAGGGGAGCAGTTTCTTCATTTTATATAGGGAGGTCAGGGAAGACCTCTCCATTAAGGTGAAATTTGGGCAAAGAGACCTGAAAGAAGCAAAGGAACTAGCTACTATTAGACATCTGGACAGAAAAGTCCAGGAGGTAGGTGAGTGTGCACATACACAGGAGAGATCCAAGCTGGATATATAAGAGTGAGTAGTCATAAGCATATAAATAGTACTAAATCTGAGAATAAACATACACCAGCACAAAAGAAAAGGAAGATGTCTGTGGGCTGTCCCTTGGGCATTCTCTCAACACAGAGAAATCAGAGATGAGCAGTAGCTAAAAGAGATCAAGAACAAGCAACCAGTGAGGTAAAGGAAAACCAAAAGAGAAGCTGAGTGAAGCAAGTATTTCGAGGAGGGTGTATATGGCTGAGCCAAATGTTACTGAAAAGTTAAGAATGAGGACTGACAACTGACCACTGGACTTGGCGACACGGAGATAAATGAAGAGAGCAATTTCAATGGAGTGGTGGGGACCAAAAATCACATAAAAGTGGCTTCAAAGACAACAGCAAAAGAGAAGTTAGAGACAAAAAGCACAGATAATTCTTTCCAATTCTGCTGTAAGCAGGAATAGGGAAATGGGATTACAGCCAAGATGAAAAGTAGAGGTGAGTCAAGTTGTTTTGGTTTTTTTTTAAGAGCAAAGAAAAACAACATGTTTACATATTGATTAAAATGATCTGTAGAGGAAAAACTGATAATGCAGAAGAGAAAAAGGACAACTGATAAAGCAATGTTCTTGACTAAATGAGAGGGAATGGAATCTGGAGAATTTATAGAAGGGCTGGCCTTAAATAAGGAAATGGAAAATCCATCCATAGTTACGGGTGGGAAGATAGAGTAATATAGTTAAGATGTAGGCATGTTAGTAGCTGTGGTAGAGAGAGCATATGAAAATATTTTTTGAGAAGTACCTAGATTAAAGAAATGAAGAGGACATAAAAAGCAAAAATAGCCTAAAGTAATAGGTAGTGATCTTACAGGGCCCTATGGGTCATATTATCTTGTCTAGATCCGGAGTGGGGGGCCGGGTGAGCAGAAAGGCTTTGAACTATGGTCTTAAGAAAAAGGCAGGGGCCCAAGTTGGAAATGGTAAGAGTGGTGAGAATATACCAGTTTGGACACTATTATATAAGTCTAAATGAAAGATAATGTATTTTGGACAAGGATGGTGGGGTGCAGGAATAGTAGAGGTAAAAATGACAACATAATGATGAATTAGATACATATATCAAGAATTACACTAGATTTCTAGCTTGTCTTACATGCTAAATAGTAATGCTATTCACCATGGTAAAGAATACTTGAAGACTCTCTTCAATTCAACAAATGGTGCTGGGACAACTGGGTACCACACATAAAAAAATACAGTTGGATCCCTCCCTCACACTATATATAAAAATTAACTCAAAACGGATCAAAGACCTAAATTTAAGAGCTTAAACTATAAAACTCTTAGAAGAAAACATGGGCTTAAATCTTGACCACAATTTCCTAGAAATGACACTAAAAACACAAGAAACAAAAGAAAAAAAAGATTGAACATTATCAAAATTTAGAACTTTTGATACGAAGGACACCAGGAAATTGAAAAAGACAACCCACAGAATGGCAGAAAACATCTGCAAGTCATTTCTTGATAAGGGAATTGTCCTATAAACTTAGAATTCAATAATAAAAGGACAAATAACTCAATTAAAAAATGAGTAAAATTTCTCAATATATATTCCTACGAAGAAGATATATATATGACTAATAAGCACATGAGAAGATCCTCAACATCATTAGCCACAAGGAAAACACATATCAAAACCACAATGAGATAGCACTTCACATCTAGTAGGATGGCTAAAATTAAAAAGACTGTCACACGTGTTGAAGAGAATGCAAAGAAACCAGAAAATTCATACACTGCTGGTGGAATTGTCAAAAACTGCAGCCACTATGGGAAAATTTTGCAGCTAGTATATGTTATTATTATGCTATTATGCAAACATTTAATTTTTTCTAGTTAAATAAGAGTGTTTTCAGCTGAAAAATAACCTGAATGATTTAGTAATGCTTTGATTTTGAGAGTTGAAGGTAACCATCTTAATCATCTGAAAATAAACCATCTTAAGGTATGCTGTCTTTCTCATGTTATTATAGTTAGAA